AGTAGGCTAGTAGGGATGGGAAAATCTGACTACTCTTGTTTCTAGAATTTGGAAACCCCGCCCCCTGCCCCCCCGCCCCCTTCTTTAGTAACTCCACAGTTTAGCAAGTCTGAGCTTTGACTATCTGGGTAAATATTACAGAACAGAAAGAATTTACCTTTATAAGATTTGCACACTTAATTATTATATTATTTGCCTAGATCCTGCAATCTTGTACTAGCAGTAAAAATACCTTTAACAAAGAGTTTATGTGTGCCAGGTGCTTGGAAGCATTTTCATTTACCTAATTATAGCTCACAATAATCCAGTGAGGTGGGGACTGTTATTTTTATGAGTCCCATTTATAGATGAGGAAACTAAAGCATCAAGTTAATTCATATAGCTAGTATTCTGAAAACTATACTCTGATAAAACATGAACTTTGGGGCACTAAGTCCTTCATTTTTCTTTTTGTTTCCCTTTCCTTCACAATGATTTACACTAGAAGTACACACAAAAAAGGATTAGAACATCCTCATGGCCGCGTGTGGTGGCTCATACCTGTAATCCCAGCAATTGGGAGGCCAAGGCATGCAGGTCACTTGAGGCCAGGAGTTCGAGACCAGGCTAACCAACATGGCGAAATCCCGTCTCTACTAAAAATAAAAAAATTAGCCGTGTGTGGTGGCACATGCAAATAGTCCCAGTTACTCAGGAGGCTGAGGCAGGAGAATCGCTTGAACCCGGGTGGTGGTGGTTGCAGTGAGCCGAGATGGTGCCACTGCACTCCAGCCTGGATGACAGAGCAAGACTCTGTCTCAAAAATAAATAGATAAAAACATACTCATGCTTCCTAGCCTCCTATGTGGGGATGAATGAGGTAGCTTCCTTTAAAAGACGCACCACTTAAAAGTTTTTGTTGTTCCAGTTGCATTTGCTGGTCTGGCCTTTGCTTCCTTTTACCTGGCAGGGAAGTTACACTGCTTCACACCACAAGGCCGTGGGAAATCTTGGAGGTTCTGTGCCTTTCTGTCACCTCTACTTTTTGCAGCTGTGATTGCACTGTCCCGCACATGTGACTACAAGCATCACTGGCAAGGTAAGCAAAGTACTCAAGCCATGGAAGTTTGCATATTTCACTCATTTTATTCCTAGCACCTAGCATAGAGGAGATGGTTACTCAATATCTGCTGAATGAACAAAATAATGAATATGGATGATCTGGGTTCTATACTAAGAATATACATTTAAAATTATAGGAAAGATAAGACAAAAAGTTTGCCAAAGATATCCTAATTTTTCCATTATTTGAAGCATTGTAAGTTCAAGTTAAACTGCATCTACAGGAAATTTAAAACCTCAGAGTTCAATTTACTCTCTTAAAAATTAGGTTCAGCCGGGCGCGGTGGCTCAAGCCTGTAATCCCAGCACTTTGGGAGGCCGAGGCGGGCGGATCACGAGGTCAGGAGATCGAGACCATCCTGGCTAACACAGTGAAACCCCATCTCTACTAAAAATACAAGAAAATTAGCCGGGTGTGGTGGCAGGCGCCTGTAGTCCCAGCTACTCGGGAGGCTGAGGCAGGAGAATGGCGTGAACCCGGGAGGCGGAGCTTGCAGTGAGCCGAGATCGCGCCACTGCACTCCAGCCTGGGGCACAGAGCAAGACTCCGTCTCAAAAAAAAAAAAAAAAAAAAAAAATTAGGTTCATTGTCATAGGACTTTTGTTCAAAAACATAAGTAAAATTCAAGAAAACGTAAAATTATAATTAAACCAAACAAGTTTAAGCTGAATGCTATAGTAAGTAAAATATCCAAATTGTAGAACACCTGGCTGGGCATGGTGGCCCACGCCTGTAATTCCAGCACTTTGGGAGGCTGAGGCAGGTGGATCGCCTGAAGTCAGGAGTTCAAGACCATCCTGGCCAACATATTGAAACCCCGTCTCTACTAAAAATACAAAAACTGAGGCCAGGCGCAGTGGCTCACGCCTGTAATCCCAGCACTTTGGGAGGGTGAGGTGGGTGGATTACCTGAGGTCAGGAGTTCAAGACCAGCCTGAGCAACAGAATGAAATGCTATCTCTACTAAAAATACAAAATTAGCTAGGCGTGGTGGCACATGCCTTTCATCCCAGCTGCTTGGGAGGCTGAGGCAGGAGAATGGCTTGAACCTGGGAGGTAGAGGTTGCAGTGAGCTGACATCGCACCACTGCACTCCAGCCTGGGCAATGAGAGCAAAACTCTGTCTCAAAAATAAATAAATAAAAATACAAAAATTAGCCAGGCATGGTGGCACATGCTTGTAATCCCAGCTACTCAGAAGGCTGTGGCAGGAGAATCGCTTGAACCCAGAAGGTGGAGGTTGCAGTGAGCTGAGATCACGCCACTGCTCTCCAGTCTGGGTGACAGAGTGAGACTCTGTCTACAAAAAATAAAAAATTATAGAATACCTTCAAAACCACAATTCCAAAAAAACAGAAGTTCTGCCCACAGGTCTTCAGGAGCCCTATTTTAAATAAACTAGTTTTCTGCAAAGAGAAGCAACTTTTTTTTTTTTTTTTTTTTTTTTTTTTTTTTGAGCTATTCTCCTGCCTCAGCCTCCTGAATAGCTGGGATTACAGGCATGTGCCACCACGCCCGGCTAATTTTTGTATTTTTAGTAGAGATGGGGTTTCACTTGGTCAGGCTGGTCTCGATTTCCTGACCTCGTGATCTGCCTGCCTCGTCATCTTAAAGTGCTGGGATTATAGGCGTGAGCCACTGCGCCCGGCGAGAAGCAACGCTTAAAATACTTTATTCCTTCCTCTAGGACCCTTTAAAGGGTGAAAATGGGTAGATGAATAGCAGTAAGTGGACCTTTGTTACTCTTCTGAGTTAGAAAAATTCTAATTTAGTACACTCAGAACAAAGCTTATTATACTTACTTAAGATGTGTTTTGATTTGGTGTTCAGAGAGCAACCTGACAATGATAATCCTGTAACTATGATAAAATTGAGAATAAAAATATTTTATTTAGAAACCATAAATCTGGAATTGAGGTTATTTTAAGCCCCACCGTAGAGTATCCTGGAGGGCCAGGTCCTCTATGCTACATGTGTTTGTAGTAGGATTTAGGAGCCTAATATTAAGAGAAGACATTGTTTCCACTCTCTTCAGATGTACTAGTTGGATCCATGATTGGAATGACATTTGCCTATGTCTGCTATCGGCAGTATTATCCTCCTTTGACTGATGCAGAATGCCATAAACCATTTCAAGACAAACTTGCACTTTCCACTGCACAGAAGAAGCCTGAGGATTCTTATTGTTTTGATATTTAAAAATTGAATCTGGCTGGGCATGATGGCTCATGCCTGTAATCACAACACTTTGGGAGGCCGAGGAGGGTGGATCACCTGAGGTCAGGCGTTCGGGACCAGCATGGCCAACATGGTGAAACCCCGTCTCTACTAAAAATACAAAAATTAGCCGGGAGTGGCGATGTGCCTGTAATCCCAGCTACTCGGGAGGCTGAGGTAGGAGAATTGCTTGAACCTGGGAGGCAGAGGTTGCAGTGAGCCAAGATCGTGCCACTGCACTCCGGCCTAGGCAACAGAGCGAGACCCCTCCTCAAAAAAAAAAAAAAAAAAAAATTGAATCTACCTTAATGGAAAACAGGTGAACTAGCCCTCCTAACTGGACCATGCACAAGACAAGAAATTCTGGCCTTTTTTTCCTCTTCCAAGGTGCAAGTGAGGACATAAGCTACACTGTATTCTGCCTCCAAATGATTACACACTTTTGTCCCTGCTCACACAGGTCTATCTTGAGGAGTTACGGTTCTTTTCTACTACTGTATGCCATACATTCTAGTAAAAGGATCTTTCAAAGGTGTCCAACACGTTATAAATCTGGTCTATCAGATTGATATCCGAAGATCTACAGTGTTTTTACATTTAATTTAAACGCCATATATTAGAAAGATCTTGTCACAAAGAAGCCTTTACATAGCCCCATCTTATCTCAGAAGCTAATTATCAAATCTTAATTTCCATTTCGTATAGCTCAAGATCTTAAAATCTAGGGCATGGCCAACTAAATTACTTTGATTCTGTTTACCTTCTCTGATGACAATTCCATCAAGCCTTAAATAGGAAAATGTCGAATCTGGGGTAATTTATCACTTTTGTGCACATCTTATCTGAGTCCAGCCATCTGGTACTGCTGCACATTTTGAACACCGTGGGTATAAACAATTTGTTGAATTACTAAGTGAACACAATAATAAAGAAGAAAATGGTCAGGAGTGTGGTTTCAGCACTACTAACAGATGACTGTTTCTACCTCATTTGACCATAACTGTGCTCGTGAGCTTCCTTCCTTCCATTCATGACTGAAGATCTGCTCAAATGCACCAACACTGCCAAGTGACTAAGGCAGAAAAGAAAAATGACAGGTATCATCATCTGAAGGACAGATGAATCTTTTTCTGCCTCTTCTTCACAATGGGATATAAGGAACAATTACAGGATGTCATCAGAACTCATGCTGTAGGACCTACAGCTCCCTTTCTCTTTATTGTGATTGTACTTTAAATATGACCTTGTCTTTTATGTGTATCTTCCTATATTTTCAATGTATCTATCTTTTTCCTTCAGTAAACCTGATATTCAAATAAAATGGTAAATGTGTGCTTTTTTAAATATTTAAATTACATTAAGGGGCTGGAACTTTAGTAAAGCAAAACACTGAATTACCCATCCGCCATAAGTGATTCAACTGCTGTTATCTATAGTACTGGCTAATATTTACAAATACCAAAGGAAAGTCTCTTATAATTGCCATGCTTTAAATTCTGAACTTAAATTCTGCCTAAGACAATGAAAATACCAGTCAACGGGAAAGAACTTACATATTAGTTCTTTGCCCAAAACTTATTTTTTTGTTTTAGTAATACATAAAGGCAGAGAAAATCATGACTGTATTGATTTTCTTGACTTTGTGACGGGTGAGTCCAGGTAAAAGTAGGCCACTAGTCAGTATGGTTCCATTTTAGTATTTACTAAATTTTTAAATATAATCACGTAAAAAACAAACATTTCAAAAGTGCAAAATATTAGAAATCTAATCAGTGCTATTAATCTTTCCATGCAAACAATCTCTTTTGCTGAGATAAGTGATACTAGTTCTGCAGCTGGGAATATGTACAAAATGATGCTATACCAGACTTTAAAAATAGGCTTGGTCTAGAGATTGCACATAATACAAATGAAGCAGTGCAAATAATATATGACTAAATACAGGATTTCAATCAAGCTTATTATCCTGGGAAGATACAGCTATAATACCATGAATAGACAAGATATAAAGTTTCACAGTTACCCACCCTTCACCACTAGGAAAGAAACATTCCTTAATACAAAGAGTAGTTTATCTGGCTATCCAGGGCTATGCTGTCCATCTTTGGTTACAGGGACTCCCTCTGCTTATCCTTTGGTTTACTCTTAAACAGCACCTGTTCTGCCAATAGGAAGAGTAAACATAAATTTGAAGACCACAACTTGGCAAAAGCTTCCCCTTAATATACAGTGAATACTTAATTCTCAATAACTCAGAGTTTATATACTTTTAAAAAAATAAAGTATTCCATATATCTGAAACTTAGTGGCATACTTAGCATTAGGCTATAAGGAGATGACAAAGAAAGGCCAGGCCTGACCTATACCCCAACCTTACCTCTACAGTCTCCATGGTGACAGTAATTACCCTTCATTTTCCTTTTCTCTCCAGAAAGGGATAAAGATCACTGCTGTCTAAGGAATGGCTTAGTAAATATTAAATGCCAGTGGCTTCGGAAACCATAACATTTATAAAAAAATTTATAAACAGTAAACCACAGCTCGCCTGCCTTTGCCACTCTATAAACAGAGGCCTGTGGAATCTGAGAGCAAGTATAAAGGACTATCATAAAGAGAACTACAAAGACAGTGACAAACTCTGACCAAGGAAGAAGAAAAATCTACAGCAAAGTAGTGAAAAGACGCCTTGACAAAATTAGTGTGCAGTCACTTATGTTCTTAGAAGTAAACCTCACTTCATATGTTCCAGACTCGGCTGACACTGACTGCAATAGCTGTTTCTTGGACCCTACAGAAATAAGTTTTTCTTTCAGAATAAGTTAAATATTTCCCCCTAGCCAAACCTACCTGCCAACCAATGCTGCCTATGCCAGGAGCCTTTTAAATATGCTTTGCAGATTATGGATGCCTAAGAAGGAAAGAGGATACACAATACTACCTTAGCCCAAGTAGAAATGGCAGGTGACAAATTCTGTTTCACCATAAAGGCACCACTAAAAGATTTTATTTAGAACCTCAGCAGCCTGTACAGCTACATAATTTCAGGTTCATCAGCTTTTACAACTACTTTCAACATAAGAATAGAAGCTATTAGCAAATAACTTATATCAAATATAAAAGGGAGGCCTAGGATATACAACATCTTTGCTTTATAAAGATGCATCTAACATGAACTAACTTGTCAACTTTAGACTCTTACAGCAGCTCAAACAGTTGCAAAAACAATGAACATCAGTGATTTCTGGCAATAAGTCTGTCAGTCAGTTCTAAGAGAGTAAACAACACTTTTTTAAAGCTACATTTTAGTCTTTCTTCATATACTACATATAAGAAAGAAATGCAGGTTAAAAAATAAATCACCCAAAATTCTTTTTCATATCCACTGAGACTTAGCCTTCAGTTCAATACAAACAAGAGATAAGTGTACTCCAAAATGCCTTCTAAATCTCAAGAATCTGTTTCCAAACTAGAACATTTTCTAAAGATAAGCAATAAGTTCCTTAAAAACATGTGTACGCCACCCAAAACAAATCAAACCCAAAATAGGCTATACACCATGTCAAGTACTAATCAATAAAGTGTGGCACCTACAAACTATCATCAAAGAATTAAAGATACAAACCACCCCCAGCTATGAAGAAAAAATGGCAAGTGTTTATATGAAGCCAGTGGTTAAAAGTAATAAGGCCTTTTGCTTTTCCATTCATTTCCAAAGAGGAAGATTATCTCCCAAAGACCACAGTGGTGAGTAAGTGGCAGCCAACATGCAGGAAATGACGCAGCTGAGGAGAGGAAAATTGCAGCAACAAACAGGTGGATTTTCTGGGGAAGGATCCCTCAATGTCCGTCTAGGGAAGAAAGTGGGAGAAGAGCTGCAGTCACAACTGGAAGGCAACCACACAGAATACCAGAGTCGAATATACAGACTTTGTAATTTCACATCTAAAAGGCTGAGTAATTTAAATCTCAGGATGGGTGGTTGGTAATTAAAATCATAACTGTTGCCACAGTAATTCTTAGTAACAGAACCATTAAGACTCTGAGTTCAGATCCTAAAAAATGACAGGTGTCATTGGACAAAATCTCTAGCAAAACAGACATACACTAATCTTCCTCTAAATGGGCTACTGTGTTTTTTTCCCCATAAATTTCTACCAGTCCCTCTAAAAACGAATAGCAGCCTAGATCCTGGTGATAGACAATAGCAAGTATATTTACAAAGAGCTTGAGGCTCCATCACTCATTATAACATGTGAATATGTAAGAATTACACTACATACACGACATTTTAAAACTTACATTAAGCAGGCATAGATGGATTATTTTTACTGTAAAGGCTGATCAAGGAAGATACCCTGGGTTTGGTAGATCTCTTTGAGGACCAGTAATACTGTATCTTCAGACTCCCTATAAAGAAAAAAATTATATTGAGAAAAGGAACTAACCTTTGTGCCAAATGTTTTACATATATTATCTCATTTAATCCATACAACCATTTTGCAAGTTTATTTTTCACTTTTGCAAAGAAATGAGATTCAGAGGTAATGTAATTGGCAGTGGTTTGGAAGGTGACCTAGCAAAGAACTCTGGCATTAAATCTAGTAATATAAAAAAGCTAGTAAGAGAGGCTGGGTGCGGTGGCTCACGCCTGTAATCCTAACACTCTGGGAGGCTGAGGTGAACAAGTCACTACAGGTCTGGAGTTTGAGCTAGCCTGGCCAACATGGTGAAACCCCATCTCCACTAAAAATACAAAAGCTAGGGCCAGGCACGGTGGCTCACGCCTGTAATCCCAGCACTTTGGGAGGCCGAGGTGGTTGGATCACGAGGCCAGGAGTTCGAGACCAACCTGGCCAATATGGTGAAACCCCGTCTCTACTAAAAATACAAAAATTAGCAGGGTGTGGTGGTACGCACCTGTAGTCCCAGCTACTGGGGAGACTGAGGTAGAAAAATCACTTGAACCTGGGAGGCGGAGGTTGCAGTGAGCCGAGATCACGCCACTGCACTCTAGCCTGGGCGATAGGTGAGACTCCCTCTAAAAAAAAAAAAAACTAGCCAGGCATGGCAGCATGTGCCTATAGTCCCAGCTATTCATGAGGCTGAGGCAGGAGAATTGCTTGAACCCAGGAGGCGAAGGTTGCAGTGAGCCGAAGGTTGCAGAGAGCCACTGCACTTCAGCCTGGGCCACAGAGTGAGACTCCGTCTCAAAAAAAAAAAAAAAAAAAAAAAAACAAAGAGGCCAGTAAGAAATAACCAAGAATTGTTCCTTTTCCACAGAGATCATTCTAGAGACACTACTGAAGAATTATCCAGTTGGTCACCTTAATTTTTAAAATATTATGCACTTTTTGGAAAAGGTAATACAATCATAAGGTTCCAAATTCCAAAAATATAATAAAGTAATGAAGTCTCCCTCCCACCTTTGTTCCTCAACCACCACCAGTTCCCATCTTCTGACAACCAGTGTTATCAATTTCTCATGCATTTTCCAGATATTATTCTATGTATGCACAAGCAATTACTTACATCCACAGTTCATAACGAAATTTGATTTAAAAAGATTAACATTCATGAGGGACTGCCTTAAGGATATAAGGCTCTAATTCTTCTAGATCTGTGGTTCAACATTTATGGAGTCATGCATACTTTTGAGAATCTAATGAAATTATGGATTTCTCCCCAGAAAGGATCACATTGCAACCACAATTATAAATGTGTATTTCACTGGATTCATACACTTCCCTCATCTCCCACAAACTCATAGACACAGACCCCAGCTTAAGAAATTCCTGTATCAACAAGTGGGAATTAGCTCTATCAGATATTAAAATGGTACATAAATAAGCAAATCAATAAATAAGAAGTTGAGAAATAGTCCCATTTATGTATAGGAATTTAATTAAGTGGCCATGCACGGTGGCTCACATCTATAATCCTAACATTCTGGGAGGTTGAGGCAGGTGGATCACCTGAGGTCAGGAGTTCGAGACCAGCCTGGCCAACATAGTGAAACCCCATCTCTACCAAAAATACAAAAACTAGCTGGGCATGGTGGCGCATGCCTATATCCCAGCTACTCAAGAAGCTGAGGCAGGAACATCATTTGAACCCAGAAGGCAGAGGTTGCAGTGAGCCAAGATCATACTACTGCACTTCAGCCTGGGCGACATAGCAAGACTCTGTCTCAGAAAAAAACCAAAGAATTTAATTAAGATAGAATCTCAAATCTATTAATAGTGTTGAGACATGTGGGGAAAAAAGGACCTGAATCTGAATCAGATTTATATGTAAAAATGAGATGATAAAATATTAGAATAGCCAGGCATGGTGTTGCACACCTGCAGTCCCAACTACTCAGGAGGCCAAGGAAAGAGGATTGCTTGAGCCCAGGAATTGAAGGGCCTAGTGCACTAAGATCATGCCTGTGAAAAGCCACTGCATTCCAGCCTGGGCAACATAGCAAGATCCTGTTTCTTAAAAAAAGAAAAAATAAATAAATACATATGGAATATACTGTGTTGGCTGGGCGCGGTGGCTCATGCCTATAATCCCAGCACTTCGGGAGGCCGAGGTGGTTGGATCGCTTGAGGTCAGGAGTTTGAGACCAGCCTGACCAACATGGTGAAACTCTGTCTCTACTAAAAAGACAAAATTAGCCAGGTGTGGTGGTACACACCTGTAATCCTGGCTACTTGGGAGGCTGAGGCAGGAGAATCACTTGAACCTGGGAGGCAGAGGTTGCAATGAGCCAAGATCACACCACTGCACTCCAGCCTGGGCGACAGGGTGAGACTCCATCTCAAAAAACAAAAACAAACAAACAAAAACTGTGGTAAGAATTTTTTAAGAAAGGAAGATCTTTCTGAGTATGACACAAATTCCAGAAACTAAAAAGCAAATGTCAACACATTTGATTACATAAAAATAAAAATTTTGACCGGACACAGTGGCTCACGCCTATAATCCCCACACTTTGGGAGGCAGGTGCAGGTGGATCACCTGAGGTCAGGAGTTCAAGACCAGCCTGGCCAACATGGTGAAACCCCATCTCTACTAACAATACAAAAATTTTAGCTAGGCATGGTGGCGCATGCCTGTAATCCCAGCTACTCAGGAAGCTGAGGTACAAGAATCGCTTGAACCTGGGAGGCAGAGGTTGCAGTGAGCCAAGATCATACCACAGCAGTCCAGCCTGGGCAACAGAGTGAGACTCCTTCTCAAAAAAAAAAAAAAAAAAAAGTTGTTGGCCAGATATGGTGGCTTACACCTGTAATCCCAACACTTTGGGAAGCCAAGTGGGAGGATCACTGGAGCCCAGGAGTTCAAGACCAGCCTGGGCAGCATGGCAAAACCCCATTTCCACAAAAAAATTTAAAAAATGAGCTGGGCATGGTGGTACACACTTGTGGTCCTAGCTACTCCCAGCTGCTCGGGAGGCTGAGATGGGAGGATGGCATGAGTCCAAGGTCGAGGCTGCAGTGAGCTATAATCACACCAATGCACTCCAGCCTGGGTGATAAATAGAGGGAGACTCTCTCACAAAAAAAAAAAAAAAAAAAAAAAAAATTCTGCTGCAGAGCAAATGAAACTCTCAAACACTGCTGATGGAGATGTAAACTGCTGGTGGCAAAACAGTTCGGCAGTTTCTTTCGAAGATACACCTCCATGTAGCATCCACCCATCCCATTCCTATTTACCCAAGAATATGTGCAGGTCAAGTCTTATAGAACGTTCCTAGCAGCTTTATTTGTTAATAGCCCAAAACTGGAAACTATCCAAATATTCATCAACAGGTGAATGGATAAACTGTGATGTATCAATATAATGGAATACTACTCAGCAATAAAAAGGAACAAACTATTGATACACACAACATGGATTACGTCTATAATCCCAACAGCTTGGGGGGCCAAAGCAAGAGGACTGCTTGAGGCCAGGAATTTGACACCAGCAGGGGTAACATAGTGAGACCCCATCTCTACAAAAATAAATTAAAAAAAAAAAATTAGGCCCAGTGGCACATGCCTGCAGTCCCAGCTTCTCAGGAGGCTGAGATGGGAGGATCCCTTGAGCCTAAGAGGATCCCTTGAGCCCAGAGATCTAGGCAACAGTGAGCCATGATTGTGTCACTGCACTCCAGCCTGGATGACAGAACAAGATTCTGTCTCAAAAAAAAAAAAAAAAAAGAGCTAAATGCCAAACAACAAAAGTATATACTGTAGGATTCCAAATACAAGTCATAAGCAAACTACAGTGACAGATCAGTGGCTCCCTGGAAATGAGGAGTGAGGAAAAGAAGGAAGGGATTACAAAAGGCACAAGGAAACTTTTGAGAGTGATGAATATGTTAAGTTGATTATAGTGACGGCTTCACAGGCGTATACATGTCAAAACTCATCAAATGTGTATTCTTTTAATATGTGCAGTATATTGTACATTTTTCACCCAACAAATTGGCAAAGATTTAAAATTATTAAAACTGTTGGAAAAGCTGTGGAGAAACACACACTTTCATACATTATTGCTGGGAGTATAAAAAGGTACAACCTCTTATTTGGCAATATTTATCAAATTTTACAAATGTGTATACCCTTTATGCCATTGATTCCGATTTGAAGTATTTTACATTACAGATATACTCATGAGTAGGTGAAATGACACGAACAAGGTATGTGCAAAAGAAAAGGAAAGCTGAAAGTCCACGAGTAGAGGACGGCTTAAATAAATTATGGTGTATTTAGACAATGGAAGACTATGTAGCTAAAAAAAAATGAGGAAACTACATATAATAGGTTAAAAAATGCCAAGATATACTAGTAGAAAAAACAAGGCACAGAACATTGTCTTTAATATGACACTATTTATATTTTTAAAAGAAGGGAAAGAATATATTCACATACATATATTTATTATGGAGGCATAAAATGGATGGCTAGATATTTTACAGTAGCTGTATATGGGGAAGAAACTAGTTGCAAGGAACAAAATTAAAAATAAGCTTTTCATTATTTTTCTTTCTTTGAATTTCAAACCATATGAATGTGCTGCCCACACAAAAATATTAAAAGAACTCTTCTTTCTTTTCTGTCAAGCCAGATCACCAGAGATCATTCTTAGCATGATTTTAGTCCCTTACAAGATTGCTTTTAATGAACTGCACTTTGATTTTATGTCATGGCCTCTACTGTATTTATTACATACAAATGATAGTGATTGCATCAGATAATTCCTTATCAGAATTCAAGAGAAAAATTCTTCTTAGGACCTTTGAGCTTGCCTTTTTTTTTTTTTTTTTTTTTTGAGATGCAGTCTCACTCTGTCACCCAGGCTGGAGTGCAGTGGCACGATCTCGCCTCACTGCAACCTCTGCCTTCCAGGTTCAAGCAATTCTCCTGTCTCAGCCTCCCTAGTAGCTGGGACTACAGGCATGCACCACCACACCTGGCTAATTGTATCTTTGGTAGAGACGGGATTTTGCCATGTTGGCCACTTTCATTTTTAAATGGTTTGAGCTTTCATTTTTAAAACACTTATCTCTGACCCACCTTATTTTCCTTGCTTTATTTTTATGAAAACTTCTTCAGGGATTAATTTGTATTCTTTTATACTATTCTTTTTTTCAGACATGGTCTCACTCTGTCACCCAGGCTAGGGTGCAGTGGCACCATCATGGCTCACTGCAGCCTTCAACTCCTGGCCTCAAGCAATCCTCCTTCCTCAGCCTCCCAAAGTGCTGGGATTGTAGGCATGAGCCACCATATCCGGCCTGAATTTCAATAAGCACATTAATCCATTCTACAATCCATCAGGTAACCAATTATATTTAATAATAATTCTTCCCAGACGTGGTAGCTGATGCCTGTAATTCCAGCACTTTGGGAGGCGGAGACGGATTGATTGCTTGAAGTTTGAGACCAGCCTAGGCAACACGGCGAAACCCTGTCTCTACAAAAATTAGCTGGGCATGGTGGTGCACAACGGTCATCCTACTTATTAGGGAGACTGAGGTGGGAGGATCACTTGAGCCCAGGAGGTCAAGGCTGCAGTGAACTATGAGCATGCCACTGCACTCCAGCCTGAGTGACACAGCAAGACCCTGTCTCAAATAATAAAATAATAATTAATTCTGTCATATTATAATGACAGTAATATTTGTTCCAGTTCATTCATGTGCACCTAAATGGCCAAAAGACACATTTTTAACACGAAGCTAATTGAACTTATGGTTGTTGGTATCATTAGCCTCATCCATGTTCTACCCAGCTGCAAAATAAAGTAACAGTGTGTTTAAACCAGATTCTTGAAATGACATGAAATGACATGATTCTGCTTGTGCTGTCTAAATCAGAAGTCATTTTAATCCCAAAGGTCTTCTTTTTTGAAACAGGGTCTTGCTCTGTCACCCAGGCTAGAGTGCAGTGGTGTGATCATGACTCACTGTGGCCTCAAACTCCTGGGCTCAAGCGAGCCTCTTGCCTCAGCCTCCCAAGTAACTGGGACTATAAGTGCATACCACCATGCCCAGCTAATTTAGTTTTTGTAGAGATGAGGTCTTGCTATGTTGCCCAGGCCGGTCTCAAACTCCTGAACTCAAGCAATCGTCCACCTTGGCCTCCCGAAGTGCTGAGATTATAAGCCTGAGCCAATGCACCTGGCCTATCCTCCTTTTTCTACATCTATCAAATATCTATGAAACAGGTAAATAAACAAAACAAACAAAAATAAACAACATTTACCAGTAGCACAGATGGCTTTGTAAAGCAAATAAATATTCATTAAAACTTTCAATAGGCTTCTCCTGTAGCACATAGTCAATGCGTTGGCCTCCATTCAGCATCCCCACATTGATAGGCAGGACTTCTTCTTTAACTGCCACAGAGGTCTCTTCTGTGTTAACATCTGGATATGGAAGAACCATAATAAGAATCTAAAACCTTTGGCCTTCAGGGTTATCCTGTTAACTTCTCCTCACACTCCAAGTTTACCGCAGAATGAGCTACTCTCTGTTCAGAGAGCTCTCTCCCATCTTCCTCCTCTCAATCTCCTTCAAGCTCCTTCTCAGGTCACAGTAATTTTGTCCAATCCCCTTTTCTGCTTTTGCGCAACACATCTCATTACCTATACCATTGATAGCTAGGTCATTTGCCTTGGGTTTATACTAAATGCAAGCAGGAATAGAGCTCTTTAGAAATTGAAAACTAAAGCAAAATAATGCAATATTAACTATGAAATTAAATGTCAAATTAACTATGAAAAACGCCACACCATGGCATCCCTCTTATCTGGCAGCTGGTCAACGTGTACAGTGTCACTAACCACTAGGCTTCTCTGAAGTTGATTCAGGTTCTGCTTCAGTTTCTTCTGCCGCTTCTGAAACTTGTAAGGCAGGGTATGGAGCTCTGGTAAAAGACTTCCAGGCCATCCGCAGCGAACCTAGCAAGTTGTTCTTAAGGTCCATACTCATTCTGGTCAAGCCCTCTCTCAGTTCTGAAACATATAAATAAAGAACATTAAATGACTTACAAAGAGTTTAGGGTCCAACACAGCTGAACAGAGTGAATGATGCCCTTTGCACTGGCCAAAAGGTCTAGAATTATCAAGTTCTATGCTCAGACTTACCTAAGTGCATCCGCTTCCTGCCTTTATGATGTGGGATCAGCATTGGCTCAAATTCCACTCCTGGGACCACCATTGGTTCAATCCTATAGGCCACAGGATCAAACTACATAGAAAAAACAAGAGCTACATTTACCTCTGCTGAGTACAGTCTGGAAACTACGTAACCTTTTTTTTTTTTTTTTGAGATGAGGTCTCGCTCTGTCACCCAGGCTGGAGTGCAGTGGTGCAATCATGGCTGAGGTACACTCCAGCCTGGGTGACAGAGCAAGACCCTGTTTCAAAAAAAAAAAAAAAAAATATCAATACCTGAGGTAGCCTTCAACTCCTGGGCTCAAGCAATCCTCCTGCCTCGAACTCTCAAAGTGCTGGGATTACAGGCATGAGCCACCATGCACAACCAGAACTATATATCTTAAGCAAGAATAATCGTAAGTTCATTTAAAAAAATGTACAGCTCTGTTCCATCATTTCCAAATCAATACTATTATAAGTTGTCTCATTGCTAGAGAATGGAATAGGAAAAAAAAAATCAACACAACAGAAAATCCTATGTTCTTTAACAATAAGCCCTGTTATTTAGGTAAAACCACAATAGCTATACAATGCTTACAGGGTGATAAATATTGAAGAAACCTTTGCACGTCGGAAATCTGTAGTTGGGATCAATTCTTTTTAGTCCTCGGACAGTAAGGAACATTCCAATGGGAGATCCAAAGGCAAAGAATATTTCTGGTTTATAGATGAGCCGGGGATATTTCACAGACACCTCAAAGGAGGAAAATAAAAGCATCTCTCATTAATAACAAAAGTTACATCTGTTTCTACCATACCAATAGCAGGCGGTAAAATGATCAAAGAGAATTAGTTACCTGCCCAATGCCAACATCCAGATAATCACCATTTCTAGTATTACTGCTACTGCAGAACTCAGATTCTTTGGGGATGTTTGCCCCTGAAGCAGGCTGCAGGGTTGGTCTATTAATACCCTAAAGAATAAAAAATAGTTATGTGGAGAAGCTGGGCATGGCAGCACGCACCTGCAGTCCCAGCTACTCAGGACCCTGAGGTAGGTAGGAGGATTGTTTAAGCCCATGAGTGCAAGTCCAACCGGGGCAACATAGTCTCTATTTAAAAAAAAAAAAAAATTATGGGGAGCTACTATATAGTAAAAGTATAGACAAAGGATTATATAGTTTTCTACTGGTTTGAAAGGACCCTTAGGAAAGTTCTGAAATGGCAGCCAAAAATTGTAGGAAGATTTCCTCAGAAAACAAGATTAAATTATTGCCTTAAATTGTTAACTGACATTCTTACATGCTCTAAAATGATGAAAGTCATACATAGCCATTTCGGCAGCAGTTGAAACTTTAGGCAACAATCATAAGAGAAAACAATAGTAGGGTACTATGGGAAGATAATGCTGAGGACTGCTAGAGTTCTATGAAGTGCTGTGCCTCTATAATCAAGTAGGATGTCAATAAGCTGGGCCAAGAACTGAGTCTTTAAAAAGAACTGAGCCAGGCCGGGCGCGGTGGCTCAAGTCTGTAATCCCAGCACTTTGGGAGGCCGAGACGGGTGGATCACGAGGTCAGGAGATCGAGACCATCCTGGCTAACACGGTGAAACCCCGTCTCTACTAAAAAATACAAAAAACTAGCCGGGCGAGGTGGCGGGCGCCTGTAGTTCCAGCTACTCGGGAGGCTGAGGCAGGAGAATGGCATAAATCCAGGAGGCAGAGCTTGCAGTGAGCTGAGATCTGGCCACTGCACCCCAGCTTGGGCGACAAAGCCAGATTCTGTCTCAAAAAAAAAAAAAAAAAAAAAAAGAACTGAGCCACCTGCTAAAAAGTTGGAAAAGAACTACCTACTGGCTGGGCATGGTGGCTCATGCCTGTATCCCCACCACTTTGGCAGGCTGAGGTGGGCGGATCACTTGAGGTCAGGAGCTTAAGACCAGCCTGGCCAACATGGTGAAACCCCATACTAAAAATACAAAAATTAGCTGGGTGTGGTGTCGCACACCTGTAATCCCAGCTACTTGGGAGGCTGAAGCAGGAGAATCACTTGAACTCAGGAGGCGGATGTTGCAAGTGAGCCAAGATTGTGCAACGAGCGAGACTCCTTCTCAAAAAAAAAGAAAGAAAAGAACTAACTAATAAGACATGGAAGAGAAATTCAGTGACCAGAAGAACTGAATGTGGAAGTACTGTTACAACATAGGTAAACCTTGAGAACATTATGCTAAGTGAAAGAAACCAGTCACATGGCTCAAAAGGTCACATATTGTATGATTCCATTTATATGGAATGTCCAAAATAAGCAAATCTGTAGAAACAGAAAGTAGACTAGTGGTTGACTCTAATTAGTGGTTGACTCCCTGGGGGCAGGGAGCAATGAGGAGTGACAGCAAATAGGTATGGGGTTTCCCTAAAGGAGAATGGAAATGTGCTGAAATTGGATAGTGGTAATGGTTACAAAACTCTATGAATATACTAAAAACCATTAAATTGTAAATTTTAAAAGGGTGAATTTTATGGTATGTGATGTGAATTATATATTGGTAAAGCTCTCATGAAAAGAAAAAAAGCAAAAAAATAAATAAGTGGAAGGAGAATTCCAGAGGAAAGAAGACTTCTGAAGCTAATGACACTTTTAAGGACGTAAAAAAGACGGGCCAGGAGCGGTTATTCATGTCTGTAATCCCAGCACTTTGGGAGGCTGAGGCAGGTGGGTCACCTGAGGTCAGGAGTTCAAGACCAGCCTGGCCAACATAGTTAAACCCCATCTCTACTAAAAATACAAAAAGTTAGCTGGGCATGGTGGTGCGCACCTGGAATCCCAGCTACTCAAGAGGATGAAGCAGGAGAATCGCTTGAACCCAGGAGGTGGAGGTTGCAGTGAGCTGAGATCACCCACTGTATTCCACCCCGGGCAACAGAGCGAGATTTCATTTCAAGAGAAAAAAAAAAAAAAAAAGAAAAAGAAAAAAAAAAGGATGTAAAAAAGAAAATGTATTTAATTTCTAGAAAGAGAGCCAAAGATTGGCCAGGCGCAGGTGGCGGGCACCTGCAGTCCCAGCTACTCAGGAGGCTGAGGCAAAACAATCACTTGAACCTGGAAGGCAGAGGTTGCAATGACCTGGCATCACACCACTGCACTCCAGCCTCAGTGACAGAGCAAGACTCCGTCTCGGTGCCCGCCAAAAAAAAAAAAAAAAAAAAGAGCCAAAGATCCATTACCAAAAAACTGCTTGACTTCCCAGAATAAACATCCCACAAAACACAAGGATACACTATGGACATCAAAGAATTGCTTAGTCCAACAAGCTGTATTAGGCACATACCGTTGCATTTTTTCTGGTACTGAAATAGTTTAATATCTTCTTTCTTGGTCCTAAAGGAATTCCCATTTCCTGAAGATCTCGGTCTGTACATAAAGCCTATGCACAGAAAACCAAGTCTTTCTTATTTCTAGACAAAATAAAATCAATCCTGTCCCTAAGAGGATTAAGACCTAGGCACTCTGTTGCTGCCTGTCTCTCTAGTAGTAAAACATCATATAATAAATTCCAGAAAAAAAGGACCTGTTTTATTCATGAAACGCCCTAAAAAAGAATAGAAAATATCAATACTTACAATATCAACGTTACCATAATACAGACAACATTGTGTTATTGTAAAAAAAAAAAAAAAAAACCAGAGAAGTTGGGTATCTAAGGACTTCAGGACATAAAAATCTTCCTTGATTTCTATACTGACTTAGATGTCACATGCCTGAGAAGGATTATACTCCTGCTCATGAATGCAAGCATTGAGAACATACAGCAAACACACAAGTACGCAACAGACTAACAATCAGGATCTCGTGTCACTCATCTTTTTTTTTTTGAGACGGAGTCTTGCTCTGTCGCTCAGGCTGGAGTGCAGTGGCGCGATCTCAGCTCACTGCAACCTCCACCTCCTAGGTTCAAGCGATTTTCCTGCCTCAGCCTCCCAAGTAGCTGGGATTACAGGTGCCTGCCACCAGGCCCAGCTAATTTCTTGATATTTTTAGTAGACACAGGGTTTCACCATGTTGACCAGGCTGGTCTCGAACTCCTGACCTCATGATCCACCCACCTCGGCCTCCCAAAGTGCTGGGATTACAGGTGTGAGCCACCATACCTGGCCAACTGTCACTCATTAGGGAAGCCTTCCTGCACCTTCTGAGACCAGGTTAATTCTTGCAATACGGTGTACTTTCCCTACTTAGTTCTTATTGTAATTGCAATGATGTGTGTGATTATTTAATATGTGTCTTCCCCAGTAAACTATAAACACTATGAGGTCAGGGATCATATGTCTTATTTACCAGTCTATCCGGTACTTGGTATAGTAAGCATTTTCTAAGTATCTGTTACATGAGTGAATGTATCACAAACCAGAAAAAGGCCAAACAAAAGTGGAAAAAACAAAAAACAAATAAACAAGCTGGCTGGGCACCATGGCTCACACATGTAATTCCAGCACTTTGGGAGGCAAAGGTGGGTGGATCATGGGGTCAGGAATTCCAGACCAGCCTGGCCAAGAGACCAGCTTGGCCAACATGGTGAAACCCCATCTCTACTAAAAATACACAAATTAGCCAGGCACGGTGGCGGGCACCTGTAATCCCAGCTACTCGGGAGGCTGAGGCAGAAAAACTGCTTGAACCCCAGAGACAGAGGCTGCGGTGAGCTGAAGATCACACCACTGAACTCCAGCCTGGGCAACAGTGAGGCTCCAACTCAAAAAATAAATAAATAAAAAATAAACAAGCAAATAACAGTAGAGCTCTTGAAAGTACAACAGAAAATTAGAGTTGGAATAGCTAATGGTTATTTATTTGTTTGTTCTTGCACTCATGTTTTCTATGAGCCGTACTGGTTAGTCTGCTCCACTGCTCTATGAATATCAATATGGCCATCTGAACTTTGAACTTCAAACAAGGCAAAGGTCACTTGATATGATAAAAAGCAAATAAATAATGCTAAGGAACATTAATAATAAAGTATTTATGACTAAAAAGTGTCTAAAGGGTATGCACTTAGTAAACATGATGAACAATAAAAATACTGAAAATGGCTTGGCATAAAGTTTTAAAAGATTATTTTTACCAGAGCTTCCTTATCTACTTTCTCCTTCTCAAAGATATCAAAGAATTCAGAGAGCTGAAGTTTCTTCAAATCTTCCTCTAGTGTAGGTGTATCTCCTTGATCCATTACAATATTTAGCGAATCCTAAAAATAAAATTATAAAGCTCATATTTTCAAAATTTATTTAGTTTCCTTTATACTATTTTGCAGTAAAGAAACACATAGATTTCCACAGCAATGTATCTTAACTTTAACAAACTATCATTTATGCAAGATATAAATTAAGAGGTTCCAAGGTTTTGCGACTTCAATTGAAAATATGTTTTTAAAGAAATGAGTAAAATATTCATCATCATTAACAAACATTTGCTGAATTTTAAGGGAGCTCGGTGCTTAAGAAATTAGGAAAATGGTGCTTAAGAAATAAAACAGTCTAGACTGGGCATGGTGGCTCACGCCTGTAATCCCAGCACTTTGGGAGGCTGAGGTGGGCAGATCACAAGGTCAGGAGTTCAAGACCAGCCTGACCAACATGGTGAAATCCCAACCCTACTAAAGATACAAAAATTAGCAGGGTGTGGTAGCGTGTGCCTGTAATCCCAGCTACTGGGGAGGCTGAGGCAGAAGAATCATTTGAACCCTGGAGGCAGAGGTTGCAGTGAGCCAAGATCGTGCCACTGCATTGCATTCCAGCCTGAGCGACAGAGCGAGACTATCTCCAAAAAAAAAAAAAAAAGAAAGAAATAGAAATAAAACAGTCTAAGACAAAAGCTCTGCTCTGGAGGAACTCATGGTCCAACAGGAGAAATAGGTACCAAATCAATCCTATAGATGATACATGGTTATAGGAATTTTTACTAAAAATGTTTAAACATCAAGTTCCCCAATACTTTCGAACAGAGTTTCTATAAATCATATCAATTTGTAGTCAATTCATTCATTTGTTCATATGCAAACTTCATTTAGCTCAATGATTCCGTAACTCAGCAGTGCATATTTTTGAGACGGAGTCTCACTCTGTCACCCAGGCTGCAGGGCAGTGGCACGATCTCTGCTCACTGCAACCTCCACCTCCCAGGTTCAAGCAATTTTCCTGCCTCAGCCTCCCAAGTAGCTGGGATTACAGGCACACACCACCATGCCCAGCTAATTTTTGTATTTTTAGTACAGATGGGGTTTCACCATGTTGGCCAAGTTGGTCTTGAACTCCTGACCTAAGGTGATCCACCAGCCTCAGCCTCCCAAAGTGCTGGGATTACAGGCATGAACCACCACACTCGACCAACAGTGCATGTTCACAAAAGAAAATAAGATAGACTAAACAATTATTATCTGTAGAAGCATATTATTATCTTGCTTCTATAATCCAAGAATGACAGAGATAATTAAAAGTCTGTTAAAATGGAAATAAGTGTAAACATAATGTCATGACATGAAACTAAACTCAGCTAAAAAAAAAAGTCTAAAATCTATAAATCCTTACTAAAGAAAACTACAAGAAAACCTAGCTGAACATCTAAATTACCTTTTCACTGTCAATATCCCCCAAAGAATCTTTCTGATTTGTTAGGATATCAAACAATATAAGCGAACCTATAAGTAAAATAGAAGAAGGGACAATTTCTAAGCATTAGCACTAAATGGCTGTCTGTTATACAAAAAAGTCATAAGCCAATTACACATGTAAGCAAATCTACACAGCAAGGAGTCTTTCTTTCCAATTTACCACCACCCTTCCAACCCCTTCCAAATTTCTTGATCAGAGACCACTTCTAGACCTCTGAATTTCCTACTGATAAAAGACACTGTGCTTCAAAAACAGGTGTCTTTAAAATGTGATAGTCTTCTCTGGTCACACAGAATTCATTTTGTTACCTAAACTATGACCAGCAATGGATACACCCCCTTTGAAATCAGGGTTCCTCTGCAGAAAAAGTGTGTATATTCGGTTCATTTCAGAAGCAACTGTGTCCACAATAGTCTGACAGTAGGTGGGGCTATTGTAGAAGAAGACATCCAGAATTGTGTCATTGGTGAAGTGCCTGAGGCGGTTAATGCTGGGCAGGGTTATTCGCTGCAGATCTCTGAAAAAGGAAAAATAATTTAAGCAGGAAACCTAAATACATTTAATAGCCACTTCCAATTTTAAGCCTTCAAGCTTAGACTTAAACATTTTATAAGAAACAATTGTCGATTTATAGGAAAAAACAAAAAGAGGACAAAGGAACATGTGTAATGAAGCCAGAGGGATGTGATCAGCAAAATTCAGAAAATATGAAACCCTACAAGTCAAACCCATTTCTTCCATACATAAACTACAAGAAAACAATAGATGTAGACAGAGAGGTAAGTGGTAATCAAGAAATTAAGAGACTTTTTTTTTTTTTTTTTTGAGATGGAGTCTCGTTCTGTTGCCCAGGCCGGAGGGCAGTGGCACAATCTCAGCTCACTGTAACCTCCACCTCCCAGGTTCAAGCGATTCTCCTGCCTCAGTCTCCCAAGTAGCTGGGATTACAGGCGCCTGCCACCAGGCCCGGCTAATTTCTTGGTATTTTTACTAGAGACAGGGTTTCACCATGTTGACCAAGCTGGTCTCGAACTCATAGCAATTGCAGGCATGTGCCGCCATGCCCAGCTAATTTTTGTAGTTTTAGTAGTGACGGGGTTTTGTCATGTTGGCCAGGCTGGTCTCAAACTCCTGACCTCAGATGATCCACCTGCTTTGGCCTCCCAAAGTGCTGGGATTACAGGCATGAGCCACTATGCCCAGCCCAAGACAGACTTATAATAAAAGATATATCAACTAATTGCAATGTATGGACTTTATTGGGATCCCAGTTTAAAATGTGTTTGTAATTATATAAATACGTATATAAAAATTAATGTGCATATATAATTAATGTATATAAAAATATACATAAAAATATGTATATAAAATAGACAACTGGAAATTTGAACACTGACTAGGTATTTGATGACATTAAGAAATTTTTAAGTGTGATAATAGTGTTATGGTTATACATTTTTTAAGTCCTTTAAAATACACTGTTCAGGGCCGGGTGTGGTGGCTCACGCCTGTAATCCCAGCACTTTGGGAGGCTGAGGCGGGCAGATCACGAGGTCCAAAGTTTGAGACCAGTCTGTCCAACAGAGTGAAACCCCGTCTCTACTAAAAATACCAAAAATTAGCGGGGTGTGATGATGTGTACCTGTAATCCCAGCTACTTGGGAGGCTGAGGTTGGAGAATCACATGAACCCAGGAGGCGGAAGATGAGGTGAGCTGAAATCACACCACTACACTCCAGCCCAGGCAACAGTGCAAGACTCCGTCTCAAAAAAAAAAAAAATATACTGTTCAGTCTGGTGCAGTAGCTCACACCTGTAATCCCAGCACTTTGGAAGGCTGAGGCGGGTAGATCACGAGGTCAGAACGATAAAGAGCTCCCTCTCTCAATGCACAATTTCTAAAAGCAGAAAAAGGTGTGAGTGCCAGGTGCCAAAAGCAAACAGAATTTGTATCTGGCAGAGGAAGACCACATTGACAAAATCTAATAACCAGTTAAAGGTTTCTTAAAATTCCCAGAAAGATTCAAGTATACAACTACTTCTGCAATTTATAAGGGCTATGCCCTTAGTAACCTGTTAGCATTTGCTCAAATATTAAAGAATCCGAACCCCACCACAATGAAGTGTTTGGCAAATGAATATACCCAAATCATAGTGTACTGAGAACTGAGACACAGAATCAGAAAAGCCATTTCTGAGACCAGCATGGTCAGCTTATGAAACAATGCTGACTACTTCCTGCATCTCCTGGTTCTATTCTAGAACTATATTAGAAACACACTACTTGCTGGAGAGCCCCATATCCTCAATTTAAGCAACCTTCTCTGTCATTACCATAAAATTTACAAACAAAACTAATGGGCTTGTACCTTAAGAAAGCCGTCACTTAGGCCGGGCGCCGTGGCTCAAGCCTGTAATCCCAGCACTTTGGGAGGCCGAGACGGGCGGATCACGAGGTCACAAGATCAAGACCATCCTGGCTAACACGGTGTAACCCCATCTCTACTAAAAAAAATACAAAAAAAACTAGCCGGGCGAGGTGGCGGGCACCTGTAGTCCCAGCTACTCGGGAGGCTGAGGCAGGAGAATGGCGTGAACCCAGGAGGCGGAGCTTGCAGTGAGCTGAGATCTGGCCACTGCACTCCAGCCTGGGCGAGAGAGTGAGACTCCGTCTCAAAAAAAAAAAAAAAAAAAAAAAAAAAAAAGCCGTCACTTAAAGTCACTGTACCAGTTATTCCCTAAGTTATAAATGCTAATAGTTTAATGTTTGAGAAATCCTCCCTTTTTTCTAAATTTGGACAAATATTATTTAAACATAATAACAAAAGGAATAACAAAATACTTTGTACATCTTGGGGTATGCATGGCTTTTGACATCTGAAAATGGAAATGGTTATACACAATGGGAAGATAGCAACATTTGGCTTTAATGCTAAAGATACAATGAAGCTGTAATAGTAAATACTAGTGAGCCAGTAAAACATACTGAAGATACACACAGCTCTCTACTCCTAACCAGGGTTAATTAAACCAAGGGACTGATCAGTATTTAATAGCATATCTCTAAGAAATTTTAGGCCGGGCGCGGTGGCTCAAGCCTGTAATCCCAGCACTTTGGGAGGCCGAGACTGGCGGATCACGAGGTCAGGAGATCAAGACCATCCTGGCTAACCCGGTGAAACCCCGTCTCTACTAAAAAATACAAAAATCTAGCCGGGCGAGGTGGCGGGCGCCTGTAGTCCCAGCTACTTGGGAGTCTCGAGGCAGGAGAATGGTGTGAACCCGGGAGGCGGAGCTTGCAGTGAGCTGAGATCCGGCCACTGCACTCCAGCCTGGGCGACAGAGCGAAACTCCGCCTCAAAAAAAAAAAAAAAAAAGAAATTTTAAATATTCAGCCAGCTATAGCATAAAAATGTCCCCAAGCATAGCAATGATCAGAAAATATATTATTATCACAGCTAACAACTCAAAGGTATTAAGTATTACTCACACATCCACACCAGTAGAATGCAAAGGACTGTGCCAATTGACTGGAAGAAATTCTACCCTCCCAATCTGCTGATTTTCTTGGGCTTTCTTAAAATGTGTCTGTAGCAAGTTCAAGGAAACACTGCGAAAATCATTAACTGGAAAAGAAAATTAACTTATGCATCAACAATGAAGTAACAAATCTGTAGAATCTGGATGCAATAAATCATGTAATTATACTCTAACTACATTTGCACAGAACACATACTGACTTCTGTCAAAAATAAAGTGGTATTCAGGAAAAATTATGAATGCATATAGGAAAAGATGTTTCTTTAATAACTTTTTTTTTTTTTTGAGATGGAGTACTGCTCTATAATCCAAGCTGGAGTGCAATGGCGAGATCTCACCTCACTGCAGCCTCCACCTACCCGGTTTGAGCAATTCTCCTGCCTCAGCCTCTCGAGGATCTGGGATTACAGGCGCATACCACCACACCCAGCTAATTTTTGTATTTTTAGTAGAGATGGGTTTTGCCCTGTTGGCCAGGCTGGTCTTGAACTCCTGACCTTAGGTGATCTGCCTGCCTTGGCCTCCCAAAGTGCTGGGATTACAGGTGTGAGCCACCACACCTGGCCTAACAACTTGCTTTTACCATACAAAATATTTCATCAAAAGAAGGCTAACTTCAGGCCAAGAGCAGTGGCTCATGCCTATAATCCCAGCACTTTGGGGGGCCAAGGTGGGTGGATCATATGAGGCCGGGAGTTTGAGACCAGCCTGGCCAACATGGTGAAACCCCATCTACTAAAAATACAAAAATTAGCCAGGCATGGTGATGTGCACCTGTAATCCCAGCTACTCAGGAGGCTGAGGCAGGATAATCACTTGAACCCAGGAGGCAGAGGTTGCAGTGAGCTGAGATTACGCCACTACACTCCAGCCTGGGCAAGAGAGCAAAACTCTGTCTCAGGAAAAAAAATAGTATATTTAAAAACAAAAAAAAAGGAACATGAAAAAAAAAGAAGGCTAACTTCAAAACGTCAGCATCATGGGAAATGTTACAATTTTTTTTTTTTTAATGACATGACAATACAACAACAGTCTTGCAGTTGAATTCCTATCCTAACTTTCTGGTTCTTATAGATAGCACCACCCAATACTTTAAAGAAAAAAAAATACACTGTTGTTTGAAATTCGTATCACATCAATCTCAACCTTCCACAATACAATTCTAGTTTATGTTTAGAACCATTAGCCAGTAGAATAAGACACCCTAATTGGAATAATTAAACTTTGAATACTATCAGGTTTTAGAAGACACCTTTTTTTTTTTTTTTTTTTTGAGACACAGTGTTACTCTGTTGCCCAAGCTGGAGTGCAGTGGCCCAATCTTGGCTCACTGAAACCTCCACCCTCCCAGTTCAAGCAATTCTGTTGCCTCAGCCTCCCGAGTAGCTGGGATTACAGGTGTCTGCCACCATGCCTGGCTAATTTTTGTATTTTTAGTAAAGACGGGGTTTTGCCATCTTGGCCAGGCTGGTCTTGAACTCCCAACCTCGTGATCGACCCGCCTTGGCCTCCCAAAGTGCTGGGATTACAGGTGTGAGCCACTACACCCAGCCTAGAGGACACCTTTCAAAATCTAGTTATACTAATGACTTAAATCCTCCAATTACAATATCAAAGGTTTATCACAGTATGAATTACAAAAATGACTGATGCTTCTGTTATTCATTAAACTCTATCATCTTTATGGTTCCCTGTAAATTTGAAATGGTTAGAAATAGGACTATCACATCATAAAACAATTTTATAGGGATTAACTGCTTGTTCATTCAAGATTATTACAATAGTTAAGAGTATAAACTATTAACCCCAGGAATTTCCTAGCACTTCAGGTCTAAGCTGAGAAGCTTTACTACCTTGCCACCTGTCTTTAACTCTCTAAATCCTCTTATGCAGCTAAGACAACAGACCAAAGACAAGGCTTTATCTCAGCTCACAAGAGCACTGATTAATATTCTCTCACATGCTTTGCAAACCTACCACACTGTACAATGCTTCGAAAGCGGAGATCACAAGCTGGTCCAATCCCATGGACTACAAAAACCAAGTGATCTATTTGTAAAGGTTCTCCTATAAATGAAATTAAAAAGAAAATTATTCTGTATAATTAGTCATGTATTCTAATACCACTCATCACGAAAAGGTTATAAATATGAGCAAGTTAAAAGATGAACAGATAATTTAAAAGATATAAAATAGTCCTTTATTTAAGTACGTAGCAAAAATACACCGATTTTACTTGGTTTCTAATTTATCTTGAAATAAATCTGCAAAATTTTTTTCAGGATTTTTTTCTTTTTTTCTGAGCTCTGAAAAAGAAAACTTGGCTGGGTGCGGTGGCTCATGCCAACAGGTTTTTGTTTGTTTGAGACCGAGTCTCGCTCTGTCACCCAGGCTGAAGTGCAGTGGTGTGATCTCGGCTAGCTGCAACCTCCGCCTCCCGGGTTTAAGTGATTCTCCTGCCTCAGCCTCCCGAGTAGCTGGGACTACAGGCGTGCACCACCACGCCCGGCTAACTTTTTGTATTTTTAGTAGAGACAGGGTTTCACTGGGTTAGCCAGGATGATCTCGATCTCCTGACCTGCCTGCCTCGGCCTCCCAAAGTGCTGGGATTACAGCCCTGAGCCAACACACCTGGCCTTTTTTCAGTTTTTAAAAACTTTTTTTTTTTTTTTTGGCGACAGAGTCTCACTCTGTCACCTAGGCTGGAGTGCAGTGGCATGATAAACACTCATTCCAGCCTCAACCTTCTGGGCTCGAGTGATCCTCCTGTCTCAGCCTCCAAAGTAGCTGAGACTACAGACCTGTGCTACCATGCCCAGTTAATTTTTGCATTTTTTGTAGAAATGGGGTTTCACCATATTGCCCAGGCTGGTCTCAAACTCCTGGGCTCAAGTGAGCCTTCTGCCTTGGCCTCCCCAAGTGCTGGGATTACAGGTGTGAGCTACCATGCCCAGTCAGGTTTTTTAAACTTTTTATTTTTAAGTAACTAGAAATGTACAGAAAACTAGAAAGCATAGTACAGACACTCCCACGTACTTTTTACAGACATTCAACTTTTTAACAATTACATTTGCTTTATGATTCTTTGTGTGTGTACACACACACACACATTTATTTTTCTGAATCATTAGAGAGCAGGCTACATACATCATGAATAGTATTGCCAAATTTTACCCATCCTACCATATGTGCTAAGCAGTTTTAAAAGATATTTTTACATCTATTAAGATTCTTAGACAAAGTGATGCTAATCTCAACTTGGAATAAACCCATACGATTAAAGATGATTTTTAAACCTTGAAGTAATCTAAATCCGCAGAAAAAGGTCAAAATTTAAGGAGTAAACAAATACATCATAAGGTAAGAAAAAATAAATGGTTAACATTACCACAATGAATGTCAACAGAGATGTTCTCAACTCCTCTCTTCACAGTTCTTGGTCGACCCTGCTCCGTGGGTGCTGAACCCCAATCATCAGACCCTGCAACTGGCTGGTAATGCACCATAAGCTTAAACAGAACAGATCAGAGAAATAAAAATATTCTACAACACAATCATCTCTATACAATGCAGTTTTAAGTGTAGAATGATGTCTTTCAAACCACGCAGTCAAATGTGAACTGGAGTTTTGATACGCAACTCATACAGCTTAAAATGAGAACCCTGAAAATATATTAGGCTAATGGATCTGTCAATAGTGCCCTTCTACATGGAAGACATGCTCACATAATATGTCAGTGATTTTCTTGTTCTACAGTGGCATAATTTTCCCTAAGAAAATTATTTTGTATAAGCTGAGTTGGGTAAGTAACAGTAGTAGCTACAAGTTTTTAAGTTTCATAGTTGTGAATCCAATATAAAATGTGACAAAGGTTATCCTACATAGAACGCTTAGCAAAAGAAACCAATTGAGCTCTCCCTAATAGTGCAATTAACTTTTTATCTCAACAAGATAAATGCTTTGTTTTACCTTTGGATTGTGTAAAATAATAATTTCTCTGTTGGGAGATTCCAGTTTCTTTTTCCATTCATCCAAAGTTACAGCAAGCATGTAAGTTTCCTCAAAAGAAAACACATTTCATTAGAGTTCTCTAGTAGCTTTCCTATTAAAACTGAACTTATTCACAAGAAGACTACTGTATTAATGAGTTTCAGTAAGAATATCCTACTCTAATTTATCAAATTTATTTTTAAATCCTTTTTTTGTTGTTGTTGTTGTTTTGTTTTGTTTGAGACAGAGTCTTACTCTGTTGCCCAGGCTGGGGTGCAGTGGCGCAATCTCAGCTCACTGCAACCTCTGCCTCCTGGGTTCAAGCGATTCTCCTGCCTCAGCCTCCCAAGTAGCTGGGATTACAGGCACCCGCCACCTCACCCAGCTAACTTTTGTATTTTTAGTAGATATGGGGTTTGGCCATAATGGCTAGGCTGGTCTCAAACTCCTGACCTCAGGTGATCCGCCCACCTTGGCCTCCCAAAGTGCTGGGATTACAAGCATGAGCCACAGCACCCAGCCTATTTTGAAATTACAACAGATAGTAGCACCAGGACAAAGGGGAAAAAACATACACATACACACACACACACCCTCGCACTCCTAATTCCATCATCTACACTAGATAATTACTGTTCACATTTTAGTATATTTGTTAATATTAATGTTCTAGACCACACGTGGTGGCTCATGCCTGTAATCCCAACACTTTGGGAGGCCAAGGCAGGAGGATCACCTGAGGTCTAGTATTCAAGACCAGCCTGGCTAACGTGGCAAAACCCCATTTTTACTAAAAATACAAAAATTAGCCGGTGTAAGTCAGGCACAGTGGCTCACACCTGTAATCCCAGGTCGGGAGTTCGAAACCAGCCTGACCAACATGGAGAAATCCTGTCTCTACTAAAAATACAAAATTAGCCAGGCATTGTGGTGCATGCCTGTAATCCCAGCTACTCAGGAGGCTGAGGCAGGACAATCACTTGAACACAGGAGGCGGAGGTTGTGGTGAGCTGAGACCGCGCCACTGCACTCCAGCCTGGGCCACAAGAGTGGAACTCCCTCTCAAAAAAAAAAAAATTAGCCAGTGTGGTGGGGCACACCTGTAATCCCAGTTACTTAGGAGGGTGAGGCAGGAAAAGTGCTTGAACCCAGGAGGCAGAAGTTGCAGTGAGCTGAGATCGTGCTACTGGACTCCAGCCTGGGCAACGGAGTGAGACTGTCTCAAAAACGAAAACTAACAAACAAAACAAGAAAAAGGCCGGGCGTGGTGGCTCACGCCTGTAATCCCAGCACTTTGGGAGGCTGAGGCAGGCGGATCACGAGGTCAGGAGGTTGAGACCATCCTGGCTAACACAGTGAAACCCCCGTCTCTACTAAAAATACAAAAAATTAGCCAGGCGTGGTGGCGGGCGCCTGTAGTCCCAGCTACTCAGGAAGCTGAGACAAGAGAATCACTTGAACCTGGGAGGCGGAGGTTGTAGTGAGCCGAGATCGTGCCATCGCACTCCAGCCTAGGCGACAGTGAGACTCTGTCTCAAAAAAAAAAAAAAACAAATACTAATGTTCTACTCCAATTTAAAGAAAAATTTCAGTTTTCAGAGCAAGAAAAATAAAAGCTAAAAAAGATCAATCCTGTGACCATAGCGTAATAGACTTTGCGTGTGTGTGTGTGTGTGTGTGTATTTTTTTTTTTGTAGTGATGGGGTCTCGATTTGTTGCCCAGGCTGTTCTCAAATTCCTGGGCTCAAGTCATCCTCCTGCCTTGGCCTCACAAAGTGCTGGGATTACAGACAAGAGCCACGGTGCACAACAGTTTTTTTTGTTTTTTTTTTTTTGAGATGGAGTTTTTCTCTTGTTGCCCAGGCTGTAGTTCAATGGTGCGATCTCAGCTCACCACAACCTCCCCCTCCCGGGTTCAAGTGATTCTCTTGCCTCAGCCTCCTGAGTAGCTGGGATTACAGGCATGCACCACCATGCCCGACTAATTTTGTATTTTTAGTAGAGACTAGGTTTCTCCATGTTGGTCAGGCTGGTCTCAAACTCCCAACCTCAGGTGATCCGCCTGCCTCGGCCTCCCAAACTGCTGGGATTACAGGCGTGAGCCACCAGGCCCAGAGTACTGTTTTCTTTTTTTACACCTTAAAACAACACAGCCAGTTCCATTGTATTCTAAAATCTGAAAAAGGCCGGGCACGGTGGCTCACACCTGTAATCCCAGCACTTTGGGAGGCCAAGGCCAGCAGATCATTTGAGATCAGGAGTTTGAGACCAGCCTAGCCAACATGGTGAAACCCCATCTTTAATAAAAATACAAAAAAATTAGCCAGGCATGGTGGTGGCCACCTGTAATCCCAGCTACTTGGGAGGCTGAGGCAGGAGAATCACTTGAACCCGGGAGGTGGAGGTTGCAGTGAGACAAGATCGCACCATTGCACTTCAGCCTGGGCAACAGAGCGAGACTCCAACTCAAAAAAAAAAACAAATCTGAAAATAAGACTACTTCATCCTGAAACTTTCTTGCAAATAGAAATGCTTTATCATGTTTTATAATGTGATACAGACAGAACCAAACTCTTTCTGGAAATTTCACAAAATAAATTACAAAAGAAAGATGATTAAATAAGAGAAGGAAAGAATAAGTAAAAAAAGAGTCAAAAGAATACCTCTAAAACTTGGCTGAAGCTCTCCGAGTAGGGAACATACTTATTATCTTTGTCCCCCTTGTAAAACCACGTACATCGTCTCACTTCCGATGCTAGTTCATCCCAGTATACAGCATACCGCATCCTTTCCCCCAAATGAACATCGTATCTGCCCCCATCAGTAGGAACAACTCTCCCATTACAATCTTTTCCTTTCAAGGATTGAAAAGGGAAAAAGTAGTACATATTTCAAAATATATCTCCCAACATACAATTCTGAGTTATACTCTAAATAATGTTATAAAATACATGAATGAACAGTTCCTACTTGGCTAAACACCAAACAAAATGGAATTAAATTCATATCTTTTTCACTACCTACTTTACAAACCGTCAAAACCATTCCTGATTTTAATGAAACATGAAAAAAATATTACCCGAACAGTTTTGTTCTTTTTCTGAGGAAAGATAGCAGTGCCCCTTAAAAAAAAGGTATATAATGTGATTTTTCTGAGTTTGCTTGGGAACCATAAGGTAAATTAATAATCATCATGATGATTCAGTATAAATAGAATCATTCTTGTTTTATAAAAGAAGAAAAGTCAAGTGACAAGTTAGAGAGTTCATTCTTCTGCACTGTGACACCCCACTCTATACATACTTTTTTCTGTTTTTTTTGAGACAAGTCTCACTCTGTCACCCAGGCTGGAGTCCAGTAGCACAATCTTGGCTCACTGCAACCTCCGCCTCCCGGGTTTGATTCTCCTGCCTCAGCCTCCCAGGTAGCTGAGACTACAGGCACAGACCACCCATCTGGCTAATTTTTGTATTTTTAGTAGAGAAGGGGTTTCACCATGCTGGCCAGGCTGATCTCGAACTCCTGACCTCAAGTGATCTGCCCATCTTGGCCTCGCAAAGTGCTGGGATTACAGGTATGAGCCACTGCACCCAGCCTTACACATTCTTTATAAAACAAAACATAAGCTAGAACATTAAAGATATTACTGGGGGGTAATATCTTTACATTTACAATTACAGGGTGCAACACGCCTGTAATTCCAGCACTTTGGGAGGCCAGGCAGAAAGATTGCTTGAACCTAGGAGTTCAAGATCAGCCTAGACAATATAATTAGGTCCCCAACTCTAAGGAAAAAAAAATTATTGGGTAACTATGCAGAAATAATAATAGATACTGTTTTCAAAATACAGACCAAATTCTGGAATATTATTGATTGGCTAGATATTAGTGCAGAAGTTCTATATAAAATGCCGTAAGAAATTATTTAACTGGAAAAATCTAAAATTTAGTTTTCATAGCACTCACTATAAGGACCATTATACTATAGTTTGAAGAGGGGAAAGTCTTTGTCTATTCCAAGTCACAATTTTCACCTACCAGAGTTATATGCCTCCTCCAGCTGCTGTGAATCATCAGAGTTGAAAGGAATCCATGTCTCCTTAGAATCTATTATCTTACAATAAAACCAATGGGGAGAAACTGGTTCATACAAGCTGCCAGCATCCATGTCTATTAGCTCAAAGGAACTACATGAGTTTGGTGATGGGGATGGATCTGACTGGGACAACTGCTCCTGTTGTGACTGCACTGATGACATTTCGCTCTCTAAAGACAAAAGAAAACTATCAGGAAAATGATTTTTTAACTGTGTAACTGTTCGCACACATACACAAGCACAAAACTAACCATTTTACGGAGCCATTTCTGCAACAACAACATCTACATAATTTAAAAGAAAAATAACATAAATTAGCAGCTGGATGGGTGGAAGCTTTAAATAAAATGCTTCTATTAGATCAACCATTGCGTGGAGTTCCCAATTCTCTCGGAAAACTGGGTAATTTTACTCAGTCCATAAGTTATAAAACAAACCCAGAATTACAGGACCACATGCTCGAAACTTGATTGCAACAAAAACATTTTACCCTAATTTCCAATCTAAATGTAGTTAAAGGCAGAAAATTTACTCCAAGTCAGCTGGGTCATGCCCTGTCCTAGTGACGCCAAGGTTTTGGGCTCCAGGCCCCTACCATTACACAACTAACGGAATCTTAAAATACAAAAAAAATAAAACTACTCGCTCAGGAACCAATCATTTTTGATGGATCCTTGAAGTCGATTAATGGGCGGTGGCACAAATTCTGAAAAGAAATCTCGCCCGGGGCCACGGTGCGCACGCGCACGCCCACTCGCACAGCCAGAATCTCAGATGAAAGGTAACGAGCGACCTCAAAAGCCTCCTCCCGCAGAGGCTGCTCTGACCAGCTGTTTCTACCTCTCCAGCACTCCTTCCATTCGGCAATGACCAGCGCCGCAGGCACCAGAGGGACACTTCTAAATTGCCCCGTAGGGCAGGGGGCAGGAGCGCATCTCACGCGGGCCCAGCGGGACGGTAGACGCCGGCTTTCGGCTCCATTGTCCTTTTACCCGCACAGACTTACCTCAGCCACCTTGGCGCGCCTCTAGCCCCCGCGACCCTAGGCCCTGGCGCCCCGCTCCGGGCCGTCGGAGCTCAGGTTGTCCGCCCGCAGTCCCGCGACAGCAGCAGGACAGCCAGTGCAGACCATAGGGTAAACAGGGTTCACAGGGTGCCCAGGGTTCCCCCAGGCTAGGGGCTTCCGCATCCCGGCCCCGCAGCGCTGCACCACCCACCGGCACCAGCCCGGCCTCCCTCGGTCCAGCCGCCCGACACGGACTCACCTGGCGGCCCCGCCACTCCTCAGGCTCTCCTGCCCTCCCTGAGGGGGACACGGCATGGCCCGGCCGCGGCCTTTACCCCAGCCCGGGCGGGGCGCGGCGGAGCAGGGCGGAACCTGCGGCCCAGCCGGGCTCGCGCCGAACACCAGGCGCCACGGCGCTCCCAGTGGGCGAGTAGCGGGCCCGGATGCCGGGCGAAAAGGTGAGGCGGCCGGGAGCGCGGCGCGCGACCGCGAGTGGGGCGCGCAGGGCCGCAGGGCACGGGTGGCAAGTGTCGCGAGAGGTGGAGGTATTCGCGCGAGACGTGGCTCCTCCTGCGGGCAGGGAAGTGCAGCGCCGGGCGGCGGGCGGCTGGCGGTGAGGTCTAACTGCCAGGAAGAGTTTTGAGTGTCCGTGGCGGAAAGGGCTTCGAGGCGGCCCCTCACGTATGGGGCGGGAAAGTTGGCCTGATCCTCGTGATACGCTGCAGACCCTACTAGTGCGCCAGGGTCGTGTAGGGGACCACCGGACACAGGGACGCCGCGGCCCCGGGATCAGCGGAGTAGGGCGGAGGGCGCAGTCGCCCCGCTCCTTGCCTCTGTTTCTGGGTGCTGAGAACGGGTGTCACTGGCTTTTGCCAGGAAAAAAGGCTTTGGCCCCTCCTCCGTGCATTTATTATGATTTAGAGGTTACCAAAAAGGTATCCCTAAAAAATATGGTGTTGGCGCCTGGGTCAGAGCTACTCAGGAGGCTGAGGCTGGAGGATCGCTGGAGCCCACTGGTGCAGGTTGCATGAGCCCAGATGGCGCCACTGCACTCCAGCCTGGGTAACACTGCGCCACTAGTCTTAAACAAACAGTAAAAAAATATATGTATGTATGTATGTATGTATGTATGTATATTTAGAGGCAACCTTAACAGGATTTAAAAGATGCCAGGGAGGTTGGAGATGAGATACTGCTGTCCAAACAGGCAGACATAACTGAGGTGAAAAGTTGAAAGGGGCTGGGCACAGTGGCTCACGCCTGTAATCCCAACACTTTGGGAGGCCAGGAGTTAAAGACCAACCTGGCCAACATGGTGAAATGCCATCTCTACTAAAAATATAAAAATTAGCCGGGGGTGGTGGCTCACACCTGTAATTCCAGCTGCTTGGGAGGCTGAGGTGGGAGGATCACTTGAAACCGGGAGGCAGAGGTTGCAGTGAGCCAAGATCACAGCCACTGCACTCCAGCCTGGGCGACAGAGTGAGACTCCACCTCAAAAAAAGAAAAAAAGAGAGAAATTTCCCGCAGTCATGAGGTTGAGTACAGGCCCTGCCCGACTCTCCTTAGTATTCATTTTAATACCTTTTGGTATTAAAAATATATATATTTTCCTATTTTCTAACTAGATTATAGGGCAACAATTTCGGGAGGTTTTTTTTTCAGATTTTTTTTTTTTTTTTTTTTTTTGGCGGTGTTTCACTTTGTCGCCCGGGTGGAGTGCAGTGGCGCAATCTCCGCTCACTCTCGGCTCACCGCAACCTCCGCCTCCCGCGTTCAAGTGATTCTCCTGCCTCAGCCTCCCTAGTAGCTGGGATTATAGGCATGCGCCACCACGCCTAGCTAATTTTTGTATTTTTGGTAGCGATGGGGTTTCACCCTGTTGGCCAGGATGGTCTTGATCTCTTGACCTCGTGATCCGCCCGCCTCGGCCTCCCAAAGTGCTGGGATTACAGGCATGAGCCACCTTGCCCGGCCTATTTCAGCTTTGTTCTTTCTTCAGAAACAGAAAAAGAAAACAAATTTTTATAACACATTTTTTCTCTCTACAAATTAACAGCCACACACAAATATCCCCAACACCTTCCCTTCAAATTTATTACACTTAGAATAGTTTCTGCAAGGCCGGGCACGGTGGCTCACGCCTGTAATCTCAGCACTTTGGGAGGCCCAGGCAGTACGATTTAGCAAGGGGTGGAGCTAAAATCACGAACCCGCACAGTGTGACTTCAGAGCCTGCACCTAAGTAACTTGCCTAAAATCAGTCAGGTAAGTGACAGAACTGGAACTTTAATTTAGGTTCTCTATCTTCAAATCCTGTTGTAGCCTGTATACCAGCTGTTCTCAAATTTGGAGGGCTGTCTCAAAAAAAAAAAAAGTGGATTGCAATGTGTAGTTTGAAAATATTTCAGTAAACTTTTCATATTCTGATACTATTAAAATCCATTGGTCTGTCTTGCAGTTTATTTTTGTTGTTTTGAGTAAAGTGAAAGCAAGTTTATTAAGAAAGTAAAGGAATAAAAGAATGGCCACTCCATAGGCAGAACAGCCTATCCTGCACTTTGAATGGATCTTTTTACCCATGTGTGACTTAAGCCATCATGTATTGGTCATTTGGGAAATATCAGTTCACTGAGCTATGCAGATCTTCCAAATGTTAATATATTTTATTATACTTTTTTTTTTTAATTACTGATTTCATCAGAAAAGTCTTTAATATTGGGAAGCTGTCAAGCTCAGAGTAGCAGGTACAAGTTTTCCAATATTCTGCTTTTTCTTGACAGGTCAAATTTTATCATTGGCAACAAATGATAAATTGTCTTCCTTGAAATGGCAAGTCTCCTTTGTTTTCAAGTAAAGTTCTGCTAAATACTTACATACAAATAGCCATAGTTTGTCCCTTGTACTTTCAAATAAAAATGATGTTGCATGAAAAAAGAGCATCTAGTTCAGCTTCCAATTCAAATAGTCACTCAAGTTCTTTTTCTTCAAGACACCACCATCTTACTTTTGGTATGCAACAAAATGGTTGTATGGGCCACAGTGGCTCATGCCTGTAATCAAGCACTTTGGGAGGCTGAGGCTGGCGGATTGCATGAGTCCAGAAGTTTGAGACCATCCTGAGCAACATGACGAAACCCATCTCTTTAAAAAAAAAAAAAAAAATTGGCCGGGCGCGGTGGCTCAAGCCTGTAATCCCAGCACTTTGGGAGGCCAAGACGGGCGGATCACGAGGTCAGGAGATCAAGACCATCCTGGCTAACACAGTGAAACCCCGTCTCTACTAAAAAATACAAAAACTAGCTGGGCCAGGTGGCGGGCGCCTGTAGTCCCAGCTACTTGGGAGGCTGAGGCAGGAGAATGGCATAAAACCCGGGAGGTGGAGTTTGCAGTGAGCTGAGATCCGGCCACTGCACTCCAGCCTGGGCGACAGAGCGAGACTCCATCTCAAAAAAAAAAAAAAATTAGCTGAGCATGGTGGCACAGACCTGCAGTCCCAACTACTCAGAAGGCTGACATGGGAGAATGGCTTGAGCCCAGGAAGGGGAGGTTGCAGTGAGCCATAATCACGTCACTGCACTCCAGGCTGGGCAACAGAGCCAGACTCTGTCTCAAACGGTTTTATTCATAATTTTGTCATATAGAATGTGAAAAAGATGTGAACTAATGAGTTAAGAGTTAACAAAAGTAATCATTTTTACTGATTCATGAAGGGTATTCTTAAGCGAAACTGGCACTATTATTATTAATGCATGGCAGTCAAGAATACAATGACTGACAGTGAAATTTATTTCTACTGCCTTAATTTATGCTAAGAGTGTCCACACTCTTAGCATTGCTTTTGCATCAATAGTACAAACGTCAACCCAGCAAAAAGGGCAAATCATATCTTAGTATCACTATGAAAATAGTTTCAGGCCATGCGCAGTGGCTCACACCTGTAATCCCAGCACTCTGGCAGGCCGAGGCAGGCAGATACTTGAGGACAGGAGTTTGAGACCAGCCTGGCCAACATGGTGAAACCCCATCTCTACTAAAAATACAAAAATCAGCTGAGCATGGTGGGGGGCACCTATAATCCCAGCAACTTGGGAGGCTGTGGCAGGAGAGTTGCTTGGAGGCAGAGGTTGCAGTGAGCCAAAATTGTGCCACTCCAGCCTGGGCAACAGAGCAAGACTCTGTCTAAAAAAAACATACTTTCCACTTTGGGAGACCGAGGCGGGTGGATCATGAGGTCAGCAGATCGAGACCATCCATGGCCAACATGGTGAAACCCTGTCTCTACTAAAAATACAAAAATTAGCCAGGCATGGTGGCACGCATCTGTAATCCCCGTTACTTGGGAGGCTGAGGCAGGAGAATCACTTGAACCCGGGAGTTGGAGGTTGCAGTGAGCCAGGATCGCCACTGCACTCCAGCCTGGCGACAGAATGAGACTCTGTCTCAAAAAAAAAAAAAAAAAAAAACTTTTGGCCATGCGCGGTGGCTCACGCCTGTAATCCCAGCACTTTGGGAGGCACGGATCACCTGAGGTCGGGAGTTCGAGACCAGCCTGAACAACATGGAGAAACCCCGTCCCTACTAAAAATACAAAATTAGCCGGGCGTGGTCACGCATGCCTGTAATCCCAGCTACTAGGGAGGCTGAGGCAGGAGAATCGCTTGAACCCGGGAGGCAGAGGTTGCAGTGAGCGAAGATCGCACCATTGCACTCCAGCCTGGGCAACAGGAGCAAAACTCCGCCTCAAAAAAAAAAAAAAAAGTTTCAAACTTGTTACACCTGCAAAAGTCTCTAAGTCTCCCAGCATCCATAGACCACCCTTTGAGAACTGCCCTGGAGCTTGGAATACAAAAGTAACAATACAATACCTACCCCTGAAGGAGTTCAGTCTTAATAGTAGAGACAAACCATTAAACAAATAACTATCTTCAGTGCTATAACAGAGGCAGGTACTAGATAAATTAGTAGTTACAAAAAAGGGAGTAATCACATATCCTGACATAACAGAAATTCTCATTCTTGGTAGAATCCAAAAATCAGTTGTTGTTTTTTTTTTTTTTTTTTTTTTTTTTTGAGGTTGGATCTTATTCTGTTGCCCAGGCTGGAATGCAGTGGTACAATCATAGACTGAATTCCTAGGCTCAAAGCGATCCTGGGTTCAAGTGATCCTCCCACCTCAGCCCTCTAAGTAGCTAGGACTACAGGCATGTGCCACCATACCTGGTTAATTTTTTTTATTTTTTGAGATGGAGTCTCGCTCTGTCGCCCAGGCTAGAGTGCAGTTGGTACAATCTCGGCTCACTGCAACCTCTGCCTCCCAGGTTCAAGTAATTCTCCTACCTCAGCCTCCAAATAGTTGGGACTACAGGTGTCCACCACTACGCCTGGCTAATTTTTGTATTTTTAGTAGAGATGGGGTTTCACTGTGTTGGCCAGGCTGGTCTCGAACTCCTGACCTCATGATACACCCGCCTTGGCCTCCCAAAGTGCTGGGATTACAGGCCTGATCCACCACACCCAGCCATACCTGGTAAATCTTAAAATTTTTCTTAACAGACAGGGTCTCACTACATTGCCCAGTCTGGTCTTGAACTCTACGCTCAAGTGATCCTCACACTGTGGCCTCCTAAAGTGCTGGGATTACAGGCGTGAGCCACTGTGC